GATCAGCATGCTGCAACTGCAGGGCTAACCAAACTAATCTAAAATACCAGCCTCCCCGTAGAGACATGGAAATGTCAAAGCCCATAGAGACCTGCACTGCATTTATGCAAGTCGGCCTTTTCTGTCACATATCCAACAGACCTTCCAGGAAAGGGGCCACAGTTCTTTAAACAACCTTAACATGCAGTTTAAAAGAGATTAATGAATATCTGCCTTTGTGCACAATGAATTTTGACGCTTGACTTCCTTTCTCTCTGTGTCCCTCCTTTTTCCGGCTCCAGCGATAGTAACAGGCTCTGTTCAGTGTCGTTTCTTTCTTACCTTCTCCTTCAAGTTTGATGTGTTAATGTCAAAAATATATTTTACAGTGGGGGCGAGAAACCTCTCACCAAGTTATCATGTTTTTGTATGTGCATACCAATTTCTTCATTTAATGAAATCAGTGAAGTATTTGCCTCCAAACCTCTGTAGTAATATGACTGTAACGTGATCAAAGAGCATCTAGTATGCTACGTCCATAGAGAAAATCTGTCACGGTTGTTAAATTCTCTCCTTGGACAGAAAATGGAGGAACCTTCAGTAAAATAATAATGAAGGTGAGATATGCATAAATATATAGGTGACTCATGTATGAAAAAGTGGTGTGCTTTTTCCTAACGAACAAACCCTGCCCTTCTTTCATTGGACTGAACAATTAAGCAGTATGCTAGAATTTTCATTACAGGTTAAATGTTGAAGCAACTGGCTCATTGAAGATACTTTCTTCTCTTAATCACATAATATTATAACCCATAAGTCATTACTGAGAAGTATGTACCCTCCAACACTACACTGATGAAAACTGCACACTTGTGGCCAAGCAACATCAGTGTGTGATCAAGGTAACAAAAGTTATTAATGAGGAAGAACAGACAAGCTAGGAGAGGTTTGGGCTGAGGGTATAAATTCTCCAGTTTGGGTAGGCTCAGCTCCAGGCAAGAGGAAGGGAGTGTCATATGGAAATCTTGGAATAAAAGATGATCACAATTTGCAAGACTTAATCCATTTCTTGCTGCAACTTACAAAGACTGTCTAGGTGGTCTATGTATTTACTTGCCAGGATTCACCCTCCACTATAATCTGCAACCATACTCTGACTAGAAGCATGTAGGCTACATTAAATGTTCCTTAGCCCATCTCCCTAGCAGGGAGGTGATGGCTTAGTTGTTACAATGCCAGTTTTGACCATTGTAAGGTCAGAAGGTTGGCAGGTCGAGGTCCAAGTGCTACATGATGGGGTGAGCTCCCATCACTAGTCCCAGCTTCTGCCAACCTAGCAGTTTGAAAGCATGGAAAAGTGCAAGTAGATAAATAGGTACCACCTATTTCATCCTCTTCCTCCTCCTCTACCCTGGGCTTCTCCTCAGGAGAAAGCTGAGTGGCAGAGAAGCCTTGCCTGTCCTTCTCCTCCTCTACCCTTCAGGAGAAGGCCAAGTGATGGAGGACCCTTGAGAGGTGAGTGTTTGTCCCTTTTCCTCCTCTGCCACCTGGCCTTCTCAGGAGAAAGCTGGACAAAGGAGGAGTCTTGCATGGTAAGCATTTGCCTGTCCACCTTTCCTTTTCCTCAGGAGAAAGCCAAGCAGCGGATGAGCTTTGCAAGGTGGGCTTTTCCTCCTTTGCCTGGCTTCCTCCATTGCTGCCACCTGTCCTTCTCCTTGGACAAAGTAGGGCAGTAGAGGAACCTTGAAGGGCAAGCATTTGCTTGTCCTCCTGCACGACTGCATGGCCTTCCCTTTGGGAGAAAGCCAGGCCATGGTGGAGCCTTGGGAGCAAGCATTTTCCCCCTCCTCTTCTACCTGGCCTTCTCCTCAAGAGAAAGCTGAGCAGTGAAGGAGCCTTGCAAGGCAAGTGTTCACCCTTCCTCTTCGTCTTCCACATGTCCCTCTCCTAAGGAGGAGGCCAAGTGGTGGAGGAGCCTTGAAGTCATTCCACATCCTCATGGGCCACCTAAAATCCTTTGGCAGGCTGTATGCCAACCCTGGACCATATGTTGTGCAGGCCTGCTTCTGAGGCAGTGTGACTTGCCCAAGCTCACCTAGGACTTTATCACACGGGGTCTAAAGCAGTCGCATCCCAGTCCCATTGCGCTTCCTTAATACAGAAAGCAGCATCATCCCAGAATCATTCCGGTCGCGGGAAATGTAATTCCCATTTAAACCAGGAATTCAAAAGAACGTGGATGATGCCAGATAATGCAGCATGATGCCGCATTGGGACGGGGATGCGACGGGGATGCGATGGGGATGGGCACGGTTTCTCTGCGACGTTGTGTGATCGCACGGGGAAAGGAAGCACGATGGGACGGGGATGCGATGGGGATGGGTGGGGTTTCTCTGCGACGTCGTGTGATCGCACAGGGAAAGGAAGTGCGATGGGACGGGGATGCGACAGGGATGTGACTGCTTTAGACCCCCGTGTGATAAGGTCCCTAGTTGGTTTCAATGGCTAAGCAGGGATTTGAACCTTGGTCCAGAGAATGCCAGTGCTCAAACTACTACTCCACAAATTAGGAACCATGGCTCTGCACAATAAATAAAGTTGCAAGTTAGCCCTCTTCACTTTGGATCTGGCCTCTCTTGATTATTCTACACCGTGAGAACCCGAGACATTTCATGTTGCCAGAATCTGGATTAAGTGTGGATGGAGCGCTGCATTTACTTTAACAGCTCCTGGCTGAGGAATGGGGTCATCAACTATCAGAAGCACGAGGCATATATTGCCCCTTACGTTTATGTGATTATTTCTATACTGTGTTTCTTGACCTTTTTGGCGCTATGTTTCGGAGCATGTAGTTGCTAAGCACTTTTTCGCTCCTTGTTTTTAAGGAGAAGAAAAAGCAAAGAAATGCTCGCTGACAGGTGTGAGACTAGCTGAGAGGCTGGGGCAGAGCCCTTGAATTTTTCTCATACTTGTGGCAATCTTCCTATCTCAGCATCTGCTTAGCTGCTCTGACCATGACCTCTTGATGCTAGGGTGCCCCTTAGCCCTTTCTCCTTTGACCTGTTGTTTTCTCTGTTTCCTTGGAGCCTCACATGCACATTGCAGGCAGTGCAGTTGGATACCTCTGTGTGTGATGGTTGTGTTTCGCCCTTTCTCTCTGCTTGACCTTGAGAACATCTTTACACACACACACGCACACCATCTTCCCCTAGGAACATTTGTATTGTATTCCACCTTTTCAACATAGGAGAGTACACAGTGCATATGAATATCTACCTTCCAAGCTGTTAGCTAGATTGACTACTAACCTCTGGGCAGAAATGAATTTAGTGGCAGAGGCTGTACTGATAGTACTAGACATATATATAGAGAGAGAGAGGGAGAGAGAGAGAGAGAGAGAGAGAGAGAGAGAGAGAGAGCACATGCCCCATTTTAAGAATAAATCTCCCACTTCTCCTTCTCCTCCTCTTTTCCCTTCTTATTTATTATTTGTTGGTGAATTTATATGCTGCCTTTCTCTTAAGGACAGAATAGAGGCTTACTGTCATGTTACATGCCAAAAAACCAAAACCAAAACACTGTACTGTTCTTTTAATATTGTGAGCTGCTCTGGGACCCAGTTTTGGGGAAAGAGCAAAATGCTACTACTACTACTACTACTACTACTAATAATAATAATAATAATAATAATATGCAAAATACAAAATGAGGCCAGACTATCAAAACAGAATGTCCTTTGATAATCCTTCAAGTAGAGAGGATTGCTCTCTTCAAAGTAGGATACATGGCCATCCTTGCAGGGCAGGTTTGGTAAAAGAGGGCTGGAGGCAGAGCTAATGGCACTGA